CGGGTGATGGGAAACGATAGGGAAAGGTATCGGGTTCGGTTCTGGTTTCTTCGTCGACAGGAGTCAACGATAGGGGTTCGATCGGTGCGGGGGTTCGTTCTGGACGTTTTTCAAGCGTGCGGGTAGAAGTCGATGGTTCAAGTTCGAGGGACGGGGTTCGGGAGAGGGATCGTTTCAACCCCGCGATATGGGCTTTTGCTTTCGCAAATCGTGGTTGTTTCAAAAAGAACTGGGTAGTTCTCTTTTCGTCGTCGACGTTGGAACGAAAGTTCGTCCAAACGTATGTCTGGTGTTTGTTCGAGAATTCGGCGTGGACGGGTTCGGTGCGTCCTTTCGAGGTGATATCAAATCGGAGGAGTTCGTCGTCCCAGAAAAGGGTTTCGTCTGCGCCTAGGCCTGGCAGGTTAAGTCGGCCAGGGTCGAGGATCGGATGGCGCGTGATGGTGGTTTCGGCGGACTCGAGGATTCGAGCCCGTTCGGGAGGTTGGGTTCTCTACACCTGAGAAGGTGGAGATGGAAGAAGAGTTCGACCTTATGTTACGCGAAGCTAGGCGAGTGGAACACTACAAGCCACAAGCTTGCAAGGCTACTAACTTCGAAGAGAGGTTCTGTTTCTTAGACCTAGGAAGGACGCAAGTCCCTTCGTCCTAGTCGAGTTCCGAAGCGGTAGCGGTATGAGAAAGCTAGCGTCGATTGCTAACCAGGTCGAACTGAAGAGTCCGACCTCTACTGTACAGGTATATATACAAATGAATGAGTCTGAGTCAAGGCGTACAATAAGCATGAGTCAGGATATGTCATCGCTGACGAAGGAATCGGTAATCATGACGAAGAAAAGAGTCAGCAGGGTTCAGCTATCACATGATAGTCCGGGTGCGGTATAGTACATAACCGGTCCTCATGCACGTGAGGTGGTTAGAGATAACAAGTAAAAAGAAATGAAAATGTACGTAACATGGCGACTTGTAACAAGGAGGTTGACGAGGAGGACTTGGTAAATCTTGAAAATGCGCTGCCTGTGGGTCCACCCGTGCATAAGCTCCGGTGTAGGCTTTCAGCTCTCGTCATTGTGAGTCCTTTCATACTCCTTCGCCATTGTTCTTCAACTGGTATGTATGTATCTAGGACCTCGCATTTGTCGTCCGAAGTCGCTGCAGCGGCTTGCGCTCCCCCAAAAAGATGGCTCACCCTGACAAGATGGATCTGTTGGCGTGAGGATCCGTCACCCATACTGGACCTTGCATCACCGGAAAAAAATCCCGCGTACAATGATCTTCGTTGAATGGATAAAGGATATACTTGTATCATAGGTTCTTGTTCATTGTAGCTATGCTTGTTTACCTCATCGACCTCTTCGCACCGTCCCTGGCGACTTTTCTAGCTGGATCATATGGTCTTTGTCTTGATATGCTAAGTATCAGGTTTTGTAGGTTCCAAATAATACTGTACTGTTTACGGCCACTCCAGCTGGACCAGCCTGAGAATGAAGATGTCGACATTTCTGAGGCCTGAGGGTCGGTCCTGGGTCGTCGGGTGCTTCCGGAGGCGCGTGCATACGCGTCTGGTCACAAGTGACGAGACGCGTTTCCGTAACAGTCACGCCCACTTACGCTCTCTTACGCCGTGCTATAGGACGCGAGCTTTCCTCTGGCTTTATCCACTTCGTGAGTTGGCAGTGCGCATGCAAACATATCTCTTTTCTGTGTAGTACGCACTCAATGTTCTCTGACCACATAGAACAGATCTGGTGGGTAGGTCTCGGCACGTAGGAGCGTGAGAGAGGTGGTCAACCAACAAGGTGCGTGTCTGTCGTGCCTCCAGTGTACTAGCGGAATCCAAGATAACGATTCAGACCTATTCGCATGTTGCCTTTCTTGTGGCGGATTCGCCTTGCCAAACGGCCTCTACGTTTCTTCGAGAACCGAAGGTTTCAGTCCGCTCTTGCTGCCAGTCGGCCGACAATCAATAATGTCCTTGGCAAGGAGTACCCAACTGACAAGAGGACAAACATCACACCGGCTATCATTGAAAAACTTGGACGCAACCTCTACCTACAACCGTCACATCCCCTTGATATCTTGCGTACTCTCATTGAGTCACACTTCAGCAACTTCACCGCACACTCGGGCTTTTCTCCCATCGTGACGCCTGCGAAGAACTTCGACGACTTAGGTTTCCCAGCGGACCACCCTGGTCGTGCGCTCAGCGATAGCTATTACATCAACGATGGTCTCATGCTCCGAACGCACACGTCGGCGCATGAAGTGGAAGTCTTCGCCCGGGGAGACCGGCGCTGGCTACTAACCTCGGACGTCTATCGTCGGGACGAGATCGACTCGACGCACTATCCTGTCTTTCACCAGATGGAGGGCGCTCGCGTGTTCAGCTCGAGTCAGGAGGGCGTGGACGAGGCGGAGGCAGACAACGCACGTCTCTCGGCACACCTCGCGCAGTCGAACATCGTCATCGAGGATGTTCCGCATTCGTCCTCCACGAATCCAATACCAGGCATCCATTCTACAGAACACGCGGAACGTATGGTCCTGAACCTCAAGTTGTCGCTGAACAGCCTCATGCTGGCGCTATTTGGCGGGCGCGCGGGTTCAGCGGAGGAGCCGCTGCGGGTGCGCTGGATCGAAGCTTACTTCCCTTTCACTAGTCCAAGTTTCGAAGTCGAGGTGTTCTTCCATGGCAAGTGGTTGGAGATTTTAGGCTGCGGTTTGGTTCAACAGCGAACCCTCCAACTGGCCAGTGAGAGTCATAGTGCAATTCATCTTAATCTCCTTTCCTCACTTCGTCCCCAGATATCCCTCATGACGTGAGCTGGGCATTCGGTTTGGGCCTGGAGCGTATTGCCATGATTTTGTTCGCGATACCCGATATTCGGCTGTTCTGGTCGACTGACCCTCGCTTCTTGGGTCAATTCACGCCGGGCAAGATCTCGACCTTCAAGCCGTACTCAAGATATCCGCCATGTTACAGGGACGTCAGCTTCTGGCTACCTTACCAGGGTCTACACGACAACGACATCTTCGACCTCATAAGAGATGCCGTCGGCGACCTGGCGGAAGATGTCAAGATGGTAAGCCACGGTCTTACTGTCGATGTGGTACTTCGCTAAGCTTCCTCTCATCACAGATTGATAGCTTCACTCATCCAAAGACCCAGCGGACCAGTCGGTGCTACCGAATAAATTACAGATCAATGGACAGGCAAGTATCCAGCCTGTCATCAGTATGCTCTCTTGACGATATACGCGCCAGGTCCTTGTCAAACGACGAAGCCAGTGTCCTGCATGCTGGAGTCATCACACAGCTCAAAGAAAAATTCGGAGTCGAGGTTCGTTAATTAGGTATCATCAATGCCGTAATGTATGCTCTACCAGAGCCCCACTGCTACCAATCGCGCTGCATATACACGACGATCGCATCCTCCCCCACTCCCTGCCGATCATGACTATGACCGGTCTTGTACAACGCCGACCTGCGCTGCACGCAAAACACGATCCTTGATCGTGTACCCAATCTTTTGGCAGTCAAACACGGTGCCGGGCTCCTTGTCAGGGATCGGCGCCTGGTAGAGAGCTTCATGCCGGTTCGGGTCGAATTTGTCACCGGTCGGGTCGAACGGCTTCACGCTGTATTTGAAGAGAGTCTGCAGAAGCAGTCGATGTGTCATCTCGACTCCGGTGTATAACTCGTTAAGGTGAGCCTCTGCCGGTTTGTCAGCCGGCGCTGCGGGGGTGGACGGCTGTGACGACGCGTCGCCGGTGGATGAAGGGGAAGAGAGGGCGGATTGCGGGACGGATTTTAGCGCGAGCGCAAGGACGTCAACAGTCTCGAGAAGGTCGGAGGCGAAGCGCGAAATGGCAAAGTCTTTCGTTTGCTCCTTGTCCCTCGCAGCATTACGCTGCAGGTTCAGGAAGTCTGCCTGAAGATACCGTAACCGGCTCTGATGGGAAGATAGGACGAATCAGCATTGCACAGAAGACACAACGCCGGACAGCGCACAGTCAGGTCGACGACTTCAGCCTCTTTCTTCTTCAACTTCTCCCCTATCTCCGATGTTGCGGACGATGTGCTGGCAGCTTCGCCCTCCCCCTCTGCCTTGGCCTCGGACGCCTCGCTTGTACCCGACTTGTCGTCTGAGTAGTACCGGACGCCAGCTGTGGCTGCTCTCCGGCGCGCGGCAGACAGCGCGGTTCTCGTCGCTCCTCGGACGGGGACGGTATTCCTACAGGAGCGGAACATTTGAAAGGCCTGTGCGCTGTTCATGGCGGGCAGTCGTGGGCTAGTATGCAAGAGGCGAGGGAGCAGGTTAATGTGTGTGGTGGACAAGACGCCAGCGGTCTGACGAGAGCAATGAGACGGCAAGCGTACCCAAATTTTGGCTGAGGGCGGGCGTGGGACAGTTCACGTGCGTCTCAGGAATATTACCGTGGATGCTCTATATACGATTTGGAGCCTGTCTTGGTCTGAGTCTCAGACTCTCTTCTACATCCCCCGAGTCACCGTCTCCAGCCCATGCAGCGCGCGTAGCACCAGCGCCGTACTGTCCAGCTATCGCGCGCTCGTGTCGTCGCCTGGCACTTGGGAACTCACTGCAGCGCGTGTACGATACTAGTTCCTCAAAAGGAAATCGATGCGATATATTTCTCTTCGATCTCTCAGGGTGTTTAACCCGCTCCTTCCCTCTTACCCCCACCATCGTACGATGGCCTCAGCCGCAGGCGCGAAAATCATCGACGGTGTTGCCATCGCAAAGTAAGCGAGTTACGACGTCGAGCATAGTGTACTATCTGCTCATTCCGTACTCGTGTGTACGAAGGTCGATCCGCGATGAGGTCGCCGCGCAGATCCGCGCTCTGCAGGATCAGCATCCTCGCTTCCAGCCGCAGCTTGCCATCATACAGGCTGGCGCGCGTCCAGACTCGGCGGTGTATGTACGCATGAAGGCCAAGGCCGCCGAGGAGGTCGGCATCAACTTCAAGCACATCACCATCCCTGGCGAAACCGAGGTCGATGAGGTTGTCGATATCGTGAAGAAGCTGAATGACGAACAGACCGTCAGCGGGATCTTGGTCCAGCTCCCCCTCGGTGATCATGTGGGTGCTGACGGTGAGCGGACTGTCACGGAGGCCGTTAGCCCCGAGAAGGATGTCGATGGGTTCGTGTGCCCAAACGTGCATTATGTGCATAACTAACGCGATTCGCGCAGGTTCCACGCCTATAACATCGGACACCTCTCTTCTCGCGCGTCCGACCCATTGTTCACCCCATGCACTCCCACGGGTGTGATTCGGCTGTTGGAATCTACTGGTGTTTCTATTGCTGGCTCCCAGGCGGTCGTCCTTGGGCGTAGCGATATCGTTGGAAGCCCCGTCGCAGCTATGCTGAGGAACCGCGATGCTACTGTCACTCAGTGTCACAGTCGTACGAAGAATCTCCCGGAAATTGTGAGGTCGGCCGACATTCTCGTCTCTGCAATTGGCAAGCCCGAGTTTGTCCAAGGCTCGTGGTTGAAGCCAGGCGCAGTCGTAATCGACGTTGGCACGAACTACATCCCCGATGCCACGAAGAAGTCAGGTCAGCGCCTCGTCGGGGACGTCCACTTTGCTTCCGCATCTGCTGTCGCGTCCTACATCACTCCCGTACCTGGAGGCGTAGGTCCGATGACGGTCGCAATGCTGATGGCGAATACCCTTCGTTCGGCCGAGCGCCTTTGGCAGAAGGAGCGCGACCTGAAGCTGAAGCCCCTGAAATTGGATATCCTAGCCAAGGTTCCGAGCGATATTGAGATCGCCATGGCCCAGACGCCGAAGCCAGTCGCCCAGCTTGCGTACGAAATCGGTCTGCAACCTGATGAGGTCGAGAGCTACGGCAAGTACAAGGCGAAGGTGGAATTGGGTGTCTTGGACCGCTTGGCCCATCGCAAAGACGGCAAGTACATCTGCGTTTCTGGGTGAGTTCAAGTGCTGTGATTGTAACTGTCTGGTTCTGACATGCGAGAAGTATAACGCCAACGCCGCTCGGCGAGGGTAAGTCCACCACGACCATTGGTCTGGCGCAGGCCCTTGGAGCGCACCTCGGTCGTCCGGCGTTTGCTTGCGTTCGTCAACCTAGTCAGGGTCCTACGTTCGGTATCAAGGGCGGCGCGGCTGGTGGAGGATACAGCCAGGTCATCCCCATGGACGAGGTGCGTTTACCAATGTTACGTCTAGCATCATCTGAATCAATAGTCGTCAGTTCAACCTGCATTTGACCGGCGACATCCATGCTGTTACCGCAGCAAACAACTTGCTCGGTGAGTGCATTGAGTCATGCCACAGACTTATTGCTGATATGGAATATAGCTGCCGCATTGGATGCCCGTATGTTCCATGAGGCCACCCAGTCTGACAAGGTAATGCGTCATGCTAGTCATATGAATGTATCTCACTCTCCGCCAGGCTCTGTACTCACGTCTCGTCCCTGCCAAAAAGGGCAAGCGTGAATTCGCACCTCTTATGTTCAAGCGTCTGAAGAAGCTCGGCATCGACAAGACGAACCCTGATGACCTCACGCCAGAGGAGATTAACCGCTTTGCGCGCCTCGACGTGGACACCGACACCATCACTTGGAACCGTGTCCTCGACGTCAACGACCGTTTCCTCCGGAAGATTACTGTCGGTCAAGCACCGAGCGAGCAGGGTCATGAGCGTGTTACAGGCTTCGACATCTCCGTCGCCAGTGAGTGTATGGCGGTACTGGCATTGACGACGAGTCTCGAGGACATGCGTGAGCGGCTCGGTGCGATGGTCGTCGCTACGAGCAAGCGCGGGGACCCTATCACTGCTGACGACATTGGTGTCGGCGGTGCTCTGGCTGTCCTCATGAAGGACGCGATCAAGCCAAATTTGATGCAGACCTTGGAGGTATGGCAAACTTCCCGGCAATGTTAATTCTATACTGAGAGTATTGTAGGGTACTCCCGTCTTCGTACACGCCGGACCGTTCGCCAACATCGCGCACGGTAACTCTTCCATCTTGGCGGACAGAGTCGCTTTGAAGCTGGCTGGCACTGAAGAGGGCGATTCGTCGGACCGTGTCGGATATGTTCTGACAGAAGGTGGCTTCGGAGCTGACATGGGACTGGAGAAGTTCTGCAACATCAAGTGCCGAACCAGTGGCTTGAAGCCTGATGCAGTCATCATCGTTGCGACGACCCGTGCGTTGAAGATGCATGGCGGAGGACCAGACGTGACCCCTGGAAAGGCGCTTCACGAGACGTACACCAAGGAAAATCTGAGAACTCTGGAGGAGGGCTGCAAGAACCTCGTCAAGCACATCCAGAACTCGCGGAAGTTCGGCTTGAAGGTTATTGTCGCTATCAACCAGTTCTCGTAAGTAGTCCTGTTTCGTGGTCTAAAATCGTAAGCTGAGGAGCGCTGCCAGCTCCGACACGCCTGCCGAACTTGACCTCGTCCGTCAACAGTCGCTCGCCGGAGGTGCCGATGCCGCGGTTGTCAGCAACCACTGGGCAGAAGGTGGTGCCGGCGCGCGTGCGTTGGCTGAGGCCGTCATCGCGACCTGCGAAGGGCCGTCTGACTTCAAGTTCCTGTACGACCTCAATCTTCCGATCGCGGACAAGATTTTAGCAATCTGCAAGGAAGTCTACGGCGCAGATGGTATCGACCTGAGCGAGGCTGCGCAGAAGCAAATCGAGACTTACACTCTCCAAGGCTTCGGCGACCTCACCAGTGAGTAGATATCCCCTTGGACCAGTGAACGTCTGACAACCCATGGTTTGTTCGACTAGTTTGCATGGCCAAGACACAGTACTCGTTCTCTCACGACCCGAAGAAGAAAAACGTTGCGTCCGGTGAGTCCAATCATGGTCCGACGAATCAGTACAGCACTGAATGCGTCCCGCCAGGCTTCACTGTTCCCATTCGTGAGGTTCGCTTGTCGGCTGGTGCAGGGTTCTTGTATCCCCTGTGTGGTGACATGCAGACAATGCCAGGTCTTGGAACACGTCCAGGTATGTTTTAAATGCAACCCAGCCTATCGCAGACCTGCTCACTGTATGGTAGGCTTCTGGGAAGTTGGCCTCGACCCTGAGACTGGCAGGGTTGTCGGCCTGTTCTAGACGCACAAACAAGATCGCTAGACTCCATCTTCATCAGATCGGCTCTAGACAAGCAATACACCGTCTCAACACGGGACTGCATACCGTTCAACACGGGAGCGCAGGCGGGCTTCATCGCCCCGGCGAGCTGTTGTAGTCAGTGTGTCATGGCGGGGCTTCAGCTTCGAGAGCACGCCGAGAGAATGGGACGTAGTGGATGCCGGAGCGGGAGTTGTTACACCAGTTGTGCGTGTAGGTCATGTGTATGTAGAATCCTACGAGGAATTCCAGATGTCGGGCCATCGCAGTACATATGTCTGCTGCACTGATGATGCCGATGCATACTTTGTCCGCAAAATGGAAGTAGAAGTCATCGTCCGTACTACTTTCCCCCTGGCAGCCTCGGCTTAGCCATCACTCCCTGTGACAGTGGGGCGGACAGCGGAAGCATGAAGGGACTGCTGCCCGAAAGCGAACCGCCGATGCTGTCATAAGTGACATTGTTGTCTGCAGCGCCGACGTTCCGCCAGTACGTGTCACCGTCGGAATCGACATAGTTGAATGTGTTGTTGTTCGTGCCATTGCCGTAGTTGCCGTTGGACGAAACGACGAAGTACGAGGCTGTGGAAGATATCAGCGCCAGAAATCCGCGCGGTAGGCTCCAGGACAACTCACTTGCAACCTGCCGCTCGTTGATCGTGGATCCTAGGATGAAGGGACTCGGCGAGGAGACGCGATTGTATGAATGGTCAAAATCGGCAGTCCCTAATACATATCGCGTGAGCGAATAGTCATGTGCAGTGAGAGAGTATTTACACGAGTCGTAATTGTCATCCAAGTAGGTCATGTTGATGTACAGGGGGTAGGAGAAGTCATCACTCAATGCCGGGACCCCGTTGTGCGTGGACAGGAAGGAGCCCGTGGCGGTTTGCGCGACATTCTACAATGGTGCAAAGCCTCAGGTCACGAACACTCGTTCTGTCTTGCGGGCACTCACGTTCACCAACAAGTTGTCCATGTAGTACTGCGTGTTGGAGTACTCCAGGTCTTGCGTCCAGATGACGGAGGTATGCTGTCCGCTCCCACTCGTGAACTCTGACTGGATCTGGATGCTGTGCTTAGCAGTCACAGTGACTGTCAAATCGCCGTTGTCGCCGACAGTTCCCGTAGTCGACGTCTCAGCATATGGCTCCACATTGTACACGGTGATGTTGCCAGTAGTTGGGCCTGACGACGAGTCCGTCACCACCTGCAGGTTACCCGATACATACCAATTGTCGTTGATGGTATGGTTGGTTTCGGCCGACACAACATCGATGCTGATGTTGTGCGGCTGGCCGTCAGTGAGGACGGGTACGAAGGGCGTGAGGTCGATGAAGTAGGTTGGGAGGTCCAGGGCGCCGTATGACGTGATGGGCCTAGAGAAATTGTCTTTACGAGGAAACGAGACACACTAAGGAGTACTGACCTCCAGGCTGTGGGTGAATCCCCCCTGTGAAGATTACAGCGTATCTAGACAAGCAGAGTCAGGCTCTCGGTTTCTCGCCATGGAGTGACATACGGGAACGCTACGCCGCTACTTGACCATCCACAGCATGCGAACCTCACGAATGGTCCGTTGCCGTAGGTGAGGCCACTTGGGAGGTCACCCAAGTAGTCATTGGCCACGTTGTAATACTAGCGGGGCTATCAGCTAACTACTGCGTCCCGCACCCTGTCGACACGTACCCAGAACTCCTCGTTGCCGTTACCAGATGCGTACAGCTCAGCATAGATTGCAACGGCATTTTGCGGGACAGTCACGTTCAACTAGGTGGGCCTGTCACTGAGAAAAGTCGCGGTGCAGGAATAGCAACGTACGAAAAGGTAGGAGGGACGGATGCGTCGTCCCCAGTATTATTAGCAGCGTGGTCACAGGGATGATTGTGTTAGCCCGAGGTGCTGACGGATACTCGTCGGACGACGCGTAGAACGTGGCAGTGAGCGTAGCTGAATCTCACACATGCATAAATCACTTGATGAGAAGGCCGCAGCACTTACTGGCATACTGGCCGTTGAGCCCAGTCGCAAGTATGTTGTCTAGTTCCAAAATGAAGGTACCCGGTTCCGAAAAGAGCGGAAGGTAGCGAGTCGCGTCCTTGAGGTATGTCCAAATAATACCGTCCGTAGTAGGCTCCGGCGTGGAGGTTCGCCAGACTGTGGATAAGTCAGGATATCTTCAGAACGTCCCCAGTACCACAAAACTGACTCTCGACGTTTTGGAAGGTGAAAATTCCTGAAGAAGAGTATAAGCACTGGCCCGGATGATATCCAAAAGGAGGCGAATTTCACCCAGCCGGTCATACTGAGTTCCGTTGGAAGTCACAGTAAAGTTGAGACTGATGCCAGCCCACGAACCGACTGCCCCACAATCCGTCGGTGGACTAGAACCTCTTTGAGCTCAGTCCGCTCAAGTTGGTCGCGCTATGACGTACGTGTATTGCACAATCTCTGGACTGCAACACGGCCCATTGAAAGGCATGAGCATCATTGACTTCAATCATTCACAAATATTACTCACTCTCCGTAAGAATTCCCGAATGTACGCCTTCAAAGTACAACTGCTTTAGCAAGATGGGATGCATGGATTGCATCTGGCACGCACTCGAGGATCTGTATGGTGCACTGCTGAGCGCTCGAGGGCACTAGCAACGGGGGTGGCTGCGCGACCTGGAAATCAACAAGTACCGCCGCATACGACGCCCGCGCGAGGAGGAGGCCTGCGCCCAGACTCTGCACAAGCCATGTCCACATCGCGCAAAGTCAACCAAGGAAACCGAGCAGAGGCGTCTGCGAGGCGTCCTGTCCATCGCTGTAAGTATCTCGGGTTTATATCGCTTGCCGAAAATGATGATGGGAAGACTTCTCAGTTGCTTCTCAGTGGGAACTGTCGAGGACACGCATGTGGTCAGGCCCGAGATAGCAACAGTGGGAGCGGATTGAACAGAATACGCCGTTATACGGCGCGCCGTCGCCAAAGAAAGTATTCGGTGGGCCTTCGTGCTGCATGGCCACGATAGCAAGTTGTATGGCGAGAGCGTATATATACGGGAGCTGAGCGCGCAAAAAAACCAGCGTGGATGGTCTACTGACTCGCGCTGACGAGACATCGTATTAGCATGGCGATCTGGCCCACAGCACAGCATAGCTTCCATGCCTCGCATCAGTCGATCTCGTTGGTATGGCTATCCCGAGCTGTGCCATTAATGCAGCATTGACGCTAGCGTACACTCCCCAGGATCTGGTATCTACAATAAATACGGCGCCACTGTGTCTCGGGTCTGTGCAGAGCCAGGAAGATCGACGTCCGTGCAGCCCTGGCTAGTCGTGAGGAGAGGAAGGAGTGAAACTCAAGGGTCCGGAGCGCTCTCAGGGCTGCACAGCATGGGCGCGAGTAACAACGTTAATAAGAGGGGGAGGATTCCAAGGCGCGCGACACACCTTCAAACTTCTTGGTTCAGTATATCCTCCTCAGTGAGACGATTCCCTCCGGAGCCATGTGACGCAGGCTCCGCCTCGCTCCTCGAAGGCCCATACAACCCCCCCTCAGGATCCTCCGGGAACGAGGTTGTCGACGAGTCGCGCGAAACGGTGTCCCCGTCTACATTGGCACGGCGGCTCTTCCTCTTCGACTTCTTCTTGCGAGCCGGTGCCTCACCCTCGTTGATGCTGTAGGCGTCCTCCGTCCGTGCCCACCTATCCTTCTTGTCCTTCTTACTCCTCTTGCTCTTCTTGCTCCCGCCCACAGGCGCGGCGTCCTCGAAGTTGGCAGGGTAGCGCCATCGGGTAGAACCCGTGTCGCCCTGGCCAGACGCCCCGTAGAACTGCTCTTCGTTGCGACTCCAGAACTCTCCGCTGCCGTTGGTGCGTTGCCGGGCATCGCCGTTCTCCGACGCGAGATCCACGCTCGAGCTGCCCTCCTGGCCCTCTTCGTAAGGCTGGTCCCTCAGGGTGGACGACGGGAGGCGGTCGTTGTAGCGGGAGGCCCATTGCGATCGCCGCTCCTTGCGCTTGATCTCGGATGTGTCCACCAGCCCCCACTTCGCTACCCACTTTGGCGTCCGGCGTCGATTCTTGTTATTGCGGACGTTCTGGAGCGAATGTAAAGCATGCGCACCGAGACAACACCAAGCAGCATAGTTACCTGAATGTAGAAATTGTGTACATGCCCTGCGATAGCCTTCAGCACCAGCAACGGAATGGCGACTCTCGGACTCACCTGGAATGTATCCACAGATCGTGAGTATCACGTTGATGAAGAAGTCCGTGCCGATTCCGAATCTCGCTGCAACCGCTGCAAGACGTACAAGCCGTTAGGTTGGAGGCGTGGCAGTGGTCAGCCATGGCACGTACCCAGAGGCGGGACGAGTGTCCCGAGGATGAACAGAAGCACTTGGAAGCCATGACGTTTCCGCGGCGTAAGGTCGACCTTCGTAAAGGTCTGTGGTCTGGATGCCATCGCGGACGATGGGAGGGGATAGGAGGCAGGCAGACCCTGGACGTGGCGGAGATGATTCCCCAAGTCGACTTGGGTTGCGGCCCTATTTGTTGTGGGCGCTTTGTCTGTGGCGCACCGCACCGTTCAATCCACGACTTGTCAGAGGCCCATCACCTGCGCTGCTAGCTATAGGTAGCTACGCCTTATTCTCGACAGTTCGTTGCATGTACTTTATCTAGCTCTTGGGTCACAGACGGCTTGCAACGCTCTCGATATATGCAATGTCAGATTTGTCTCAATAGCGGCAACGCAGCGCGGCCAGGACATCCGAAGTGCCATTTCGCGCAGTTACTGTGCTTCTCCTATCCGGTGCTGATTATGCCGAACAAGTACGGCCAACATCTGTCGTCGCGGCTTGCTGTATGTCGCACGTAAGCTTTCACGCAATAGTATGTGTTGATGGATACGTACATTGGACTTTAGTACATATGTTCTTCAGTGACTACATACGACTGGTATATACACGAGAGCCGCTCCTGCCTAATGCCCTTACGCCTCGCCGTTTGCTTGCTGGTAAAACTTAATCAGGTCCTGTACATCCTCTTTGCTGCCAAGGAATACAGAGCAACGCTGATGGATGCCCGTCGGCACGACATCAAGGATGCGCTTCGTGCCCGTGGTAGCGAGGCCTCCCGCCTATGCATGTGATTAGCTATCTTGGGCACTTCGTAGCATGGGTGACACCTACCTGTTCGGTCAAGAAGGCCATGGGGAACGCCTCGTACAGGATACGAAGCTTGCCGCTCTTGGACTTCTTGTCGTCGGGTAGCCGAAATACCACCGTACAGCAGCGTCCGGTGGACGTCGGCCACCATGGAGCCGATATACCGCGCGCTGTATGGCGACTTGCCCGAGGCGGGAACTTGATGCTATGGAGATACTTGTTGACGGGCTCGTGGAAGTACATAGCGTTGCCTTCATTGAAGGAGTAGATCTTGCCCCGAGGCGGGATCTTGATCTAGATCACGGTGTTAGACGAGATCAGCCGTGTCATTTCCGTTTGCAACTTACGTCTGGATGGGTCAGAATGAACTCGCCCAACGATGGGTCGAGTGTGTAGCCGTTAACACCGTTACCAGTGGTGAGTACCATGTTCGCTGACGACCCGTACCTGTAAATCTAGTCAGGTATGCACGATGAGCTGTGATTGCAGGGCCTACATGGTGTAACCCGCAGCGACCATCTCGCTTCCGGGCGCAAGACATCCGCAATGGTGCCCGTCGAACCTGGCTTCTGCACAGACGCTCGATCAATCATTACCATGGACGCCCGAGAGCACTTACAATACGGTAGATACCGAAGATGGTGCCATGTTTACACCGGCATCGATGTTACTGCTGCCATCCAGCGGATCAAACACGACGCAATAGCTTCCCCTGTACTTGTCCTCGATGATGACGGCTTCTTCGAGTTCCTCTGAGACAAGCACCGCCGTCTTTCCGGACGCTCGGAGGGAGTTGATCATGATGTCATTAGACAGGACGTCGAGCTTCTTCTGCTCCTCGCCTTGGACGTTGGTCTCCCCAGCGAGACCGACACTACAAAAGATCAGACGAGAAAAACATAGGAGAATGATAGGGACTCACAGGTTGATCAGGCGTGCTTTCCGGACGTTCGTAGCGATGAACTTCGACGTCGTCTGGATCGCCGTGAGGAGAAGGGTGAGATCGCCGGTCGCGACCACACCAAGACTGAACTGTTGGCTCAGGACATGGCTGTAAAGACATTATCAACCGCTGTGATCCCACAGAGCTGGAGACGAATATGGTCACGTACCGCGTTAGTGTGATGATGTCGGTGCTCGGTGGCTCTTCTCCAGACATGACGGTTCAGACGATGGGGCAGAAGATGGACGTGAGAGATCGGAAGAGGTGGTTGTCCGCTATATAGACGAGTGAAAACACGGGATTTGAGCAGGCAAGGGTCGGACGGAACTAATCGGACGATGAGCGCAGGCTCCAGAGCACGGTGAGGACGCCATTACCCTTTAGGGTCACACATCGCTCCTATCATCGCCGGCCCGGCAAAACCGGGCGCCCGCTATCCCGCCTCTCTCAACCTTTCGACCACAACCTCAGCACAACCTGAACTACCAAGCAACCACATCCTCAGCATATGTGTCGTCTGTCTGTTCTTCCCGCCAATAATATGTGCACCTGCAGCACTTCATTGACCTTCAATGCGCACGCTTCGGTCGCCCGTCGGCTTGCCTGGGAGCTCTCAGTAATTCGCTGCATCCGTTTCACTCCCGGGACAATCCCCGCATGTCAGCTTGCGCGGCTGTAGTGGCACTGTTTCGGAACAATTTGGAGACCACTCTCTGCTGTGTAATGGCTTTCTTATGCTCACGTTCGATGGAAGACAGTGCGGTCAGCCTCGTGACGTTCTTAGTGAGAGTAGGTGCGTGCGCCATATGCAAGGTACCCATCTCTGATGTCGCTGAACACTGCGGTATCATAGTGCCCATGGAGAACTACATGTCAAGGTTCCATACTCCCACACGCGCACTACAAGTGTGAGGTAGGCAGAAACTACGAAGAGCCATGCCACGACAGGCATCCGCGACGTGCGACAAATCCACACGCACGTTCCTTCTCAATCCCGATATTTCCGTAGAGCATTCCAGTCCTGCCTAGACGGCGTGATGAGTGGATGCAGAGTCCCAAGCAACGACAACTGGTCATGCAAGCGTTCAGCCCGAAGCGATCCCCGAGGTGCACCCGGTGCAGGGCCACATCCACGCAAAGTCTGCTGCGAGCCTGCGGAACAGCAGACTAGGCACTGAATCATCGATCTCCTTGCCAAGTGGGTACAGCTGTGCCCAGCAATGTACGCGATGTTGTACTCATGTCGGCCAGCCTTTCGGTCACGACAATGCTGAGCCATAACTTATACAGCACAGGGCAGATACTGCGCATCGAGGATGGTAAATCTGTCTAGGCTGAGGTGAGTGTAAGGATCTGGAATGCCGCTCGTTGACGTCCAGGTGTCCGGCCGGCATATAGTCCGGACTAATGATCGCCGCTTCTGTCTGCGCACGCCGATCATCAGTGGCCTGGTTAGCTCGGGATTAACTTCCGCGTACCTCTCGAGGAAGCCAGTCCAAACACGATCGGTCGGGATCCTTGGAACCTGCTGATTGCAGTCGTCGTTCCAAACGCCGAAGAGGACGACTAGTCACGTAGTGCCACCATATGTCGAACTTGAATGCAATATGAACATACCCTCTGTCATTTGGTGCGCGAAGAACGGGAATACGAACACTTACTGATGGATAACAATGTTATGTATCCACAGATCTTTCATGGCACTATTCGAGATCCACCGTCGACACCGCCACTCGAGATTATTGATCAGAGACGACGGCACCCACAATATTACTCCGTTTGGTTTGCGTTCGGTATTAATCACGCTTCTCTCAAAGCTGCCCCTTGTTAAGTCATATTTTCTCAGGGAATCTCTAATCAAGACATAAGTTACGTTGCCGGCCGTGGCGGTGCTGTCGTACGCACGATTGTCCGCTCTCGCCGCTGTCCATACAAGGTGCATCAGGATCCTCGCGGTGTGACTGCGCCGAGGGAATGTTCCTGGGTGATACCACTGACTATGTCATGTTAGCTTACGCTCGTGCCCCGGACTGCGGCACGATGGTTGGGCTGCCAGGTCTTAAGCGATACGCCTCAGAACTGACCATCCACACCTTTGTTCCCACCTTCACCGTTCTCCCATTCTTTTCTCCGACCCATGCCTCCACAAGGTGGGCTGCGCAAGTTTTTGTCTTGCTCAGAATATTTGAACATCTTCGTTTCTGGCGCAGTGAATATCGAGAAGGCGCGGATATCGCCCTATGGATACACACCGACTGCATGGGTGGGCATCCTTATGGTTGTCCTTTTTGTACTGACGACAAGTAGGTCAGCTTCTAGACTAAAGAGAGGACAACATTTGACCCATTCCTGTCCAATAGTCATTCATCTCCTTCAATCTGTACGGTATCGCATGTGGTTCTTGCTCTGGACGGCAGTCGTTGCAGGCATACTAGAATCTATAGGATGGGCAGGGAGGCTATGGTCGTCATATGACATACTCGCATCCACGCCCTTCTCTATGCAGTAAGTGTCGGATGCGAGCATCGAATTTTCACACTCACAAGCCGACTCGTAGGATCATTTGCACGATCGTTGGGCCAACTCCGCTCATCGCTGCCAACTTCATCATCCTCGGGCACGTTATCCGCCGCCTTGGGCAACAATACAGCCGGCTCAGTGCCCGTTTGTGTACGTATGCAGTCCAACGCTTCTCCCGCGTGACAGTTGGCTGATGCGAACCCATAGATACTATCATCTTCGTCAGCTGCGTATGTACATGCTGCTGAGCTCGGAGCTCGGGCCTCGGGCCTCGGGACTCATATCTGTTGCGACAGGACGTTATCGCGCTCATTGTTCAAGCCTTAGGCGGTGCTGCCGCTGCTGCTGCTGTGGACAATGGGAAGAATCCGAAGGCCGGCAGCGACATCATGCTGGCTGGTATCATCTTCCAGACTGGTGCGCCTTCTACGTTAGAGAGGTCATCCAGGGCGTACTGAACGTGTTTCAGCTGCTATCACATTATATGTTCTTCTCGCCACTGAGTTCTTTTTGCGCTACTTCTATGACAAGCCACTGCGCGGCCGCGAGAACGTCGAGACCGGATATGCTTTGGAGAGCAAACTCCAGCAGATGATCGCAGCATTGGTTTTCAGCAGCTTGTGCTTTACATTCGGTATGCCACATTTGTCCTTGTACGATACTTTCATTGACTGAGCATTCCCAGGACATGGTATCGATGCATCGTACGTTTTGCGCCCCACTCTACGTACTGTTGCTCATGGCTGACTTTCTCGAAAGGAACTGGGAGATGGGTGGGAAGGAAGGATCATACACACGCAACGTTACTTCGGTAAGTTCTGTTTACCATTCATCCCATTCGTGTGCTCACCTCGGCCTCCAGTGATTATGGACGCCCTCATGATTGTATTTGCTTTGTGGACGCTCAATCTATTTCACCCCGGCCGTCTCCTGGGATACGGCGCCGACTGGAGTGCTGACAAGAACGTCGCGATGCGAGCGACACAGACCCAGGATTCCGAAGCGGCGAGGGGGTGCCCTTGCCGGGGAACATGCTTCCCAAGGAGCAGTACTAGCGCAATGATCGCCTTAGAGCCGCCTCATTGTGCTGGCATGGACTAGGACCTTAGTGGTATTGTATATTTTGGAGTTGTTCTTTATATGGACTATAAATACGTCTTTCCTTTGACATCGTGTCACCGACGCCTGTACATAGGCACCATTCGCGTCCTCTAGTCGAATCATCGCCCGCAGCTCGAACGACGTACTGCGCTATCAAGGTCGGATGCCAGTGACTGCGCTGATTTACTAGCTCTCATGCGTAGGGCCTTGGTGGAAATTACTCCTATTCGAATGCTCTGAGCCAGTGAGACTGAGCATCGGCGAGGATTCGACAAAGACGGTATCGCAACCAGAAGATCTACACAAGACAGCGTCTGAGCAGGCCGAGGAAAGCGAAGTGCCGTCACCGGGCAATCGAGATTAGGAACATCGACCTCGACAGTGCGCAGTCCTCGGCTATTCCGAGTCTCTAGAATGAGCATCCTGACTCGGTACAAGACATGAATCGGTCCCTCTACTAGAGCTTCGTTCTGGCAGTCAAGAAAGAGACGAGCATGCCGAGTGCGTCCCGCTGTACGGCCGGCCGACCCGGTCCGCTCATACAGTACCAACTTTTCGGGCGCTCCGCCCTTGTTCCGCCCTCCCATTGCACGGTGGCACCACCGTTCTCGTCCATACTACACAACGGTCGCCTGTCTATCCTTCTCGCCAGCGACAGTGGGATCTAAACGGCATTTCGCCGACACAAAATATGTGCGGTATCTTCAATACCGGCTTACCAGTAGTCGGGAGCCTCTCCACTCTGTTCAGCTGATTCTCGTTGATTCCAAGGACGATCCCCGCGCTCAGCTTACGTGGCTGTGACGGTCCTGTTTCGAAGTGAATTCCGTTTATTGGCTAACAGAGACAGAACACTTTGGACAGCCTTACAACACTTATCCAGGTTCTCTGGTTCTCTGCACGTAGAGTAGGCGGCAACTTCTGCGCAGCCCGAGGCGATGCCTGAGTGCAAGGCGAATATACACTGCATGCTCAGTCTGCTGCGGGACGACGGACTGTAACGTAGGACCATCGACCATACCAACCAAGTACGTGTAGTTGTGCTTACCATCCCACATGAGGTTGTCCTCATTGCACCCAGCCTATGCAGCACGACAGCACGGTAGACAGATACTACACATCGAGGGTGCTAGTGCTGTCAGGCACAAACCTCCAAGGCCAAAGTCAGCGCTAGGACTTCTAACGCCGCTAGCTGATGGTCAGGCGTATAGAGGTCTACGAACTTCCGAGGATGTACAAGCTCGAATGCTCTCCTCTGGTTGTCCCAAACATGCTGATCGAGGCCGACCTTCGTCATTCCCGTGCCGGAGCGAACGACCTAAGCATGTAATGCCACCATGTCTGACTCGATGCAGTAATTTCGTCATGCACACAGTCCGCGCAGAGCAGATAAACCGGAGACGTTTATCCAAATACTCGCTGATAATATTCGTTTATTCTGTGAGTAATCAATAATCCCTCCAATAGTCCAGACTCTGCGGGGCGACCTAGCGTTGACATTCCGATCGGTGACGCCCATAATACTACCATGTATGGACTCTCCTTCGTCGTTCTATCCTTACTCACCTACTCTGCGCAGCTAGTACGCCTAACGCGTTACGTTCCCACCGTGCTGGTTACGGCAGTGCTGCCGCACTCACACCTGTCTTCCCTCTGTCACGCCACAGTACGGGGCGCATCTGGCTGTGTGACTGTGCATTTGAGACTTCACTACGAGCGATGCCACTGAGCATGTCGTGTTAGCGTACGCTTGCGCCTCAAGCTGCGGCACAGGCGGTTGGACCGCTAGGTATTAAGGAATGACTCGGACCATCCACACATCTGCCATTCGCCCCTTCCTCTACTTTTTTCACCGATGCAGGATCCGCAAGGTGGGTGATTCTTCGTCCTGCTATGAGCTGCTCAACATACTCACCTCTGGCGCAGTCGACATCGAGACGGCGCAGGTCACGCCTTATGGATACACACCTACTGCATGGGTGGGTATCCTCATGCTTGTCCTTTTCACTCTGACGACCAGTAAGTCGACTCCTCCTATAGAAGAACACGCCACTTGACCTGTTCCTCGTCGCTAGTAATACATTTTATCCAAGCCTTACGATACCGCATGTGGTTTTTGCTCTGGACCGTCGTCGTGGCAGGCATACTAGAGTGTGTCGGCTGGGCGGGGCGGCTGTGGTCGGCGTATAACGTACTCGCGTCGAAGGCCTACACTATGCAGTAGGTATTCTACGTCACCATCAGTTGCCTTTTCACTTACAAGCCATCCTATAGGATCATTTGCACGATTATCGGACCCACTCCGCTCATCGCCGCCAACTTCGTGATCCTCGGGCACATCATCCGCCGCCTTGGGCAGCAATACAGCCGGCTCAGTGCACGATGGTGTACGTGCGCAGTCTGTCATCTCTCTTGCGCGACAGACGGCTAATATAACCCGATAGATACGATCATTTTCGTGAGCTGCGTACGTACACGTTGCTAAATCCGAACTCTGTGTTTCGAGGCTCATACATCTTTTGGCAGGACGTCATCGCACTCGTCGTGCAAGCGCTTGGCGGTGCCTCCGCTGCCTCCGCTGTGAACAACAATCATAGTCCGAGCGGCGGCAGCGACATCATGCTGGCCGGTATCATCTTCCAGACTGGTGCGCTTTCTACACCTAGATGAGCATCCAGGGCCGTACTGAATGCGCTGCAGCTGCCATCACATTGTATATCCTTTGCGCCGTCGAGTTCTTCTTGCGCTACTTCTATGACAAGCCACTGGGCGGCCGCGAGAATGTCAAGACCGGATATCTGTTCGAGGGGAAACTCCGGCAGATGGTCATAGCATTGATTTTCAGCAGCCTGTTCTTCTACGTTCGGTATGTTGTATCTGGCGATGTTGCAATTGCTTTCGCTAACTACAAGGTTCGCAGAACATGGTATCGATGCATTGTATGCTTCCCGCTGATATATATCATTGTTGATGGCTAACCTTCACGCCAGGAACTGGGCGATGGGTGGCAAGGAAGGATCATCCGCACGGAACGTTACTTCGGTAGGTCTTTCTGGCTAGTTGTTGTCACGGTATTTGTGTGCTGATCACGACCTCTAGTCATCATGGACGCGCTCATGATCGTCCTCGCTATGTGGACGCTCAACATATTCCACCCCGGCCGTCTCCTTGGTTACGGCGCCGACTGGAGTGCGGACAAGAAGATCGCGCGAGTTATGCAGCCACAGGATTCCGAAGCGACGATCGGGATGGCCTGGCCGGAGAACAGAGCTGCTAAGGAGCAGTGCTAGCACGATACTGGTGATGTAGAGCCGCCCCAGTGTGCTGGCATGGACACGGACTCAGTGGTACCGTATACATTCTGTATTTTGTTGATTTTGCTGGACTTTATCTGATATGAACATATCTCTCCTTTGACATCGGGTCACCGACGCCTTGGGCGTGCGTGTCCCCAGGCTAATTCTAGCCCACAGCCCGCGCTGTCAAGGACATGTCTTCAGATGGCTGCGCTGATTTCCCAGGTCTGGCAGCGGTGGAGATGAGTCTTCACGCAAGCCTCGGCACGAGAAGACAGCGCCTGAGCAAGCCGGGGAAGTGCCGTCGCCGAGCGATCGCGATCAGGAACACCGACCTCGATCGGGGGCGTCCGTGCCTTGCGGGGTCCTGCCAGCCAATAGGAGGGACGGTGCGGGCTCCTCGGGCTGGGTAAACCCCCTGACACCGGGGACGCTCGCCCACTTTGTGCGTGCTTTGGGTAATTGGACTTACGCCTCCACATGGTGCCGGCCAGCGGCCGCAAAGCTGGGGCCGGCATTGTCGACGCAAGGCAGAGCGGTGTTGCGGTGACATGCATCCGCCTCTTCCTCTCCTGCACTGATCAGCGACCTTCCCTGCCGCTTCCTTCCCTTCCTTTGTGCAACGATGCACTTCCAAGGTGTGCATAGGAACCTCCGCTATACGTGAGGCCAAGTCATTGACCAGCTTCCCCAGAGCTGAAGGCGACCAAGTACACGCCCGTCTCGCCGTATGGATATACGCCGGACGCCTGGGTCGGCATCCTATTCGTCGTCCTCTTTGCGCTGTCTACAAGTACGTGCGAGACCCACTACAGAGCGTAGCGCGTGCTCATGTGTATTTGATCAGTATGCCACCTAGTTCAGGCCATCCATTCCCGGCTGTGGTGGCTGATCTTCACCGTAGTCCTTGCGGGTATCATGGAACTCATCGGGCACGGTGCTCGCCTATGGTCCTCCTACAACATCCACATCAACACTCCATACCTCATACAGTGAGTTGCTATCACCATTCACGGTGTTTCAACCGGCTAACGTCGTCGCAGGATCGTGACTACGATTCTAGCACCCACCCCGCTTGTCGCAGCAAGCTTCGTTATGCTGGGTCAAGTCATCCATCGTCTTGGACAGCAATATAGCAGACTCAGCGCGAAGTGGTGTATGTCACCCCGTCATCATCGTTCCAAAGGCGTCCAGTATCTGACCTGACCCCCTATCAGACACCATTGTGTTTGTCACCTGTGTATGTGTGGCCCCTCGGTGCCAATTTTTCCTGCTTACACAACTCATCGACAGGATGTTATCGCCCTCATTATTCAAGCATTGGGAGGCGCGAGTGCGGACGCGGCAGTGAATCAGGACAAAAGCGCCAAGCCAGGCGGAAACACGATGCTTGGTGGCATCATCTTCCAGAGCAGTACGACGGCCTACTTGACGTATCTCCGCAGCTGCTGACACGAACGCAACAGTCGCCATCACGTTCTACATAGTGCTCGCGACGGAGTTCGTCCTCCGTTACCTCTACGACAAGCCCATCGGCGGGCGCCCTAACGTGAAGACGGGATATGCGCTCGACTTTAAGACGAAGCAGATGCTCTGCGCCCTGGCGTTCAGCAGCTTGTGCATCTACGTCCGGTACGTCCTCGCTTGACCC